GTAATAAAAAATCTGAAGCCCTCCCCTCCCCCTCGCTGCCTCCCCGGAATTGCACCTTGGGCAGCGGAGCAGAATCCGGAATGTGAACTTCTCCCGACATATGTTTCCCGCAGATAAGTAAACAATCTGGACGTGAAATGGAAATGCTAATTAACGCAGTAATGCTGTTACACCTCGAGTGTGCAAATCCCATTGACTCGCCGCGCCACGGGGGGTGCCAGCGAAGGGGGACCCGCGGCGAGCGCCCAGGCTGCCCGCTCCCTCCCTTCCCTCTTCCTCCAAGTTCCGGGCCGGGCTGTACTGTAGGAAGTCCGGAGCTGCACCAGGTTCGGTGTGTTGTTTAGGCAGAGGCGCAGCCCGCCCCAGCGTCTCTCTCACCCACCTCCCTCAGTTTCCACAGCAACACTAGAGCCAAGAGTCCCCGGGTTCAGAGGCGCGGCCCCCCAAAGCGTGAGCTCTCCACGGGGGCAGCAGGCGGCGCAGCGGCCTACAAGGCGCAAGAATTGAGGATTCCTTGTCACCCTAGGAGTGTGGTCCAGTGTGGCCTCTCTAGCCACTTGCAGCCTGGCACAGTTTTGCTGAAGTGCCCTTGCGCCCTTGCCAGGATTGGGCTGGGGGATCTGGCATCACTTCTTTTCCAGACCGGGTCTTAAAAACTTGGAAAACGCGGCTGGCCACCGTGGAAGCACAAGACCCTCACTTCGTAGTAAAGAGAAAACTTGGGCACTCTTGTTACCTTGTTGTCCCGCCTGACTTTTGGCTCCTTCCCTTAACCTGTCTGGGGTCTTTGGGGGTGGGGAGGTCGTGTGGGGGGGACTATCTGAGAGAAGGGGGTGGACACTCTGGGAAGGCGGCTCAGGGATAGCCTGGGCTTGCGGCCCCTTCCGCTTTCGGGGGGCACAGCTCGCTCCCTAGGCATCCGAAGGCGGCTGGAGCCTTTGAGTACGGAAGACCTCTCGCTACACCGAGGGCCTGGGGCTGGTCCAGCCTAGCAGCAATCCTTCTTTTTGCTTGCCTTCAGGCCTCTTCCCAGGGCAAATGCAGCTACACTCGCGTTTTAACACCCCTGCAGGGTAGCTTCCAGGAGGGTCCTTAGCAGGGTTCGGAGTCCCGCAGACACACAGCGGGGGTCCGCCGGGGGGCGACTGACACTCTGCAGTTCCTTGTCCACTCTACTGGATTTCTAGCGCCCCCTTGTCTGTCTCAACTTCAGTATTTTCTTAATTTCTCGGCTACGGCTCAACGTCAAGGCATCTGGTTCTGGCTCAAGACGCACCCTCAAGGAACCACCGGGGAAGAAATTGGCCCAAACAGCACTCTCACTGCCCGGCCGGAGCGCACCCGAGACTAGGGCAAGGGACAAGCAAGCAAGCAAGCCCGGAGGCGGAGTGGAAAGCTCCCGCACCACGCCTAAAATACCCAAATATAAACACCACCCCCATTCCTCACCCCACCCCTCGAATCCCGGCCTTGCCTGTCTCCTACGCGCGACCCAACTGGCAAACTGAGTTGAGAATTCTTAACACAAATATTGTGAATTATTTGATATGCGAATTTAAATGTCTTGAAATTCATTGTCCACTTGGACAATGGTGACAAGGCCTGAACCGAAAAGTGGCAGAAGGGAGCGGTAATCCGCCAAGGCAGAGCTGGCTCCACCGCTTGCCAAATTTCCACGGTTCTGGCAGCCCGCTATCTCTCCGGAGAACCTGCCGGGCCAGGAAGAGCTTCCGCAGGTGGCCCGTAGCAGAGAAAGTCCCTAGGCTCTCCCTAGACCGAATTATCATCCTTCTTTGCATCACTGAGGATTCCTTGAGGTTAGGTGGTTTTAAAACGGCAAAGCTGAAGGAGTCTCAAATGTCACTCACTCACAACTCAGTTTGATTTACTCGAAGTAGCTGGCCTTCTCCGCCTGTAAAGTTAGACGCTGTAAGAAAACTGACCCTTACACAGGAAGCGCTGGGAAACTGGAAGGGAATAAAAGTTTGGGGAGTAAGATCCAAATACAGGGAAACGAGAAACAAACAAACAAAACCCCGAAGTTTTCTGTTTTTGTTTTTGTTTTGAGGGAACCTAAAGTGGGACAAGGTGCCAACGCTCTCAAAAATCGGACCAGTGAACCCCTGAGACGGACCGCCGCCAAAATTGAAGAATGAAAACCTAGCTAAAACCCGAACTAGCCAGCTCCGCCTGCTGCCGTCCGGAGGGCACACGGTTCAGCCCTTTCAGGTCCTAGAAAACAGGAGCAGAAGAGCGATGGGTGTACGCACGGTGCGCGACACAGTAGGATCAGTTTGGGGGACAGGGTTCCCAGCAGGGGCACCTGCAGGGAGGCCATGAGCTCTCCCCTAGTCACCTCTGCTGGAAGGAGGATCCGGCTGCTCTAGGGAGGGAGCAAAAGGACTCGTCCCTAGCGCAGAGGAGGTGGTAGGCACTCCTCCCGCAGGGTGCGGGACGGCCGCGGGCAGCGGGAGTTCGGGCTTTGCGGACCCGCAAAGTGCGTGGCGGGGAACTCCAGGCTGCTCTTGGCTGCGCAAGGCGCGGGGAAGAAGCGGCTGTCCTGCACTCTGGGCGGGCGGGGTGCGCCTCTCCCTACAGGTTTGCTTTAATGCTTTCCTTGAAAGAAAGAGACAGTTGTGAGCAAACAGGTTTGACTGAGAGTGCTTCCACTCCACCCTCCCCCTACACACACGCGCGCATACACACACACACACACACACACACACACACACACCCCACAACCCTCCCCAGGGGATTCCTTTTTGTCTGCGGCAGACTTTAAAGTCTGTAATCGGACCCCTGTCAGCGGCGTGACAAGCAGGATTTAGGCGGTTGGGACGAGTCGTGGCCGCGCACCTCTGCAGCCGCTGCTCTGCGCCCCTTGGCCCGGGCGAAGAAACTGCCGCAGGCCCTGGAGGCGAGGCTGGGTCCGGGTGGGAGGAAGGCAGGCAGTCTGTCTACTAAGAAAGCAAAGTGCCCAGGGAAGAAATGTCCGGAGCCTGGTCTGCAGCTGCCCTAGGACCCTGGTTCCCGCCGTGCGCGCTGGAAAGAGGTTTGGGTGGCCCTGTGGTGGGCCCCAGGCTCCTCTCGGTGCCAGCGCACCTTAGTTTCCCCCAGAGCCCCTCGGGTTCCAAGGCCGGGAGCTGTCTGGATGGGCCCTTGCTTTCTAATTTTGGGGCTGTTTATTTGTTTTAGCTTCTGTGTCCCGAGGCCTTCGCCGCCTGGTGCCACTTTGAAATCTAACCTCACTTCACGATCAGCTGGACACCTTAGTGGGGCCACGCGCCTTGGTTCCTCCCTGGGCGCTCCAGCGCTGGGCTCTGCCGGGAGACACCGGACCCCTGTAAGCTTCATCTTGGGAGATGTTAAGGGACACTGAGCTATGAAGGAGAGCAGAGAAGCTGACAGGACTGTCAGTTGGGGTTAGATCAAACAACAGAAGCAAGGCTAGCGTCCTCGGCCTCCTGAGCTTCCTAGGGGGCGGGAGGAGGGGCCTTCCCTACGCACCCAGAGTCCCCAGACCCGACGGCCACCAGAAGCTCGTCACTTCCTAATTGTCTCGATTTGTAAGAGGGTTTTGTGATGCTAAGTAAGCGTGGCTCAGCCGGCCTGGCCTCTTCCACACCTCCCCCAGCCGTCTTTGTTTACCTTAGCCTGAACGTTCATTTATTTATCTATCTATTATTTATAGGCGTCCCGTCCTATTCAGCGGCCTTGTATGTTAATTGTGTAATACCATTTAATTCTAACATTGGTCTCAAAAGAGCTCTTAATGAGAAAAGCATATACAACACGATCACTTTGCTATTCAGCTCAGCCAGATGGACAACTGCTAACTTATTTTTTTTAATAATGAAAATCCCCCCTTGACAAAGGAGCTCGGATGAATAGACTCCAAATAGCACCTCAAACACTTCTAATTGTTTTGCGGACAATATGCTAATCCGAGGGTTTTGGCTTTGGTGCCTGTTAACAACGTTCCTCTCCCACCTCTGGCTACACAGTTGACAACGTTTCTCTCCCACTCTCTGGAGAATTGGGGGGTGGAGGGCGCTCGCAAATCCCTCAACAGCAGTCGAACGGCCTTGAGCCCAGTCCCTTCCAGGCACCAAAGCAAAGCCAAGGCTGAAGGGAAGCACACTGCCTGTGGAAAAAACGAGGGGGAGCGGATCTGGGGAGTGAAACTCGGGGAATACCGGAGGTGAGAAGCACATTCCGAATTAGCTAACAAACTCTGCTGTTGGGCTGACTAGGTAGCATCAGCAAAGCCTAGACACCCTCGGGCAAACGCTGGCAGAGGGGAAAGGGCCCCAGTCGCTTTTTTAAATTTGTGTTTTAAGAACTCTGCCTGAGGCATGACAACATTTCCTTTTTCCTTCTCCCCCCCCCCCATCCCGTTTTCCTCCAATGGGACAAAAAAAAAAGTTGTTAACTATCAGTTTAAAAAAACAAAAACAAAAACCTACAGCTTAGGAACTTAGTCTGGGGTCCCAGATTCTCAGGAGACCTGACTGCAAACACTAAACAAAACCGAGTCTTCCCGTTCTCATACCATGCCCTGAACTTAAGCACCCATACATAGCCTTGCAGTCTGCTCCAATAGTGCATCTTGTTCCCTCCAAGACTGCTACTTTCAGTCTTTAGAGCGCATTTTTTTAAAAAGCAAACCCACCCAGGACTCAGGAGGTCCCATCTTTTCGTGAGCTCACTCCCTGCCGGAAGTGGTTTGACCCGCGTTATGAAGATTGAGGCTAAGGCTCGGCATCCGGGGATTGACAGCTTTGTCAAGACTCTAAAGGGGAAACTCAGATTATCAGGGAGCAATCCAGATAGATCCCAGACTCAAGGCCCCTCTACAGGTCACAGGTCATCAGGTTCTGCCAGGGCAGGACCACGCCAGCCAGCCTTCCCTGCTTCATCCAGCCCCTTTAGGACTCAGAGCTTGGAGGAAGGACTCCTTGAACCTAAGCCTCCTAACTTGATTTTATGCACATCAAAGGTGACTTTTTGCAATGACAGATTGTCTTTATTCAAAACGTCTTTGTTCAACAAATGAACAGAGAAACGAGGTAAAATCCTTCTAGGTACATTTCCAAGACATTGTCAAAACATTTATGACCATGTAGGATGTTTTTATTATTTTAAGTTTTCGTTCACTTTCTACTTCCTGACTTCATAACCTGACATTCTGTCTAAAAGTAAACTTAGGTGTCTAGGAGCACTGCGTTACACAAAGTGAAAAGCCATGTGGGTTCTTTTTGTTTTCTCTGTATCGAAGCAAACACGACCATAGTATGGTTTTAAACAGAAAGGTTTCCCTTCCTGAAGTTTTAAACTTTTAAGCCTTTCTCCCCCGCAACACAGGAAGAGCAAATGGTACCTAGCTGTGTCTGATGGCAGGCACAGCACCGAGACTCAGCTCTTTTCTTCAGTGGGAAAGGAAAAATATATATACGCATATTCTAGATATAATACCAGGATCTGGGAGTTCCGAGTCCAAAGCCTATCCGAGGAGAGTGAGGGGCACGTAAATAAAGCAAAACTGCCTACTTCTTTTTGTCCAAAGGGGTTACAGTCGGAGACTTGCTTTGGGAGAGTCGGGAGAGGGGCAGATGTGTAGCTGTCTTAATGTTTGGAAATTTCGGGCACGAGTCTGTGCCTTGGGTCCAGGAGCACGGCCCCTCCCTTCCCCCCGGAAGAGCGAGGCAGAGTCTAGGGTGGGCAAGGGGCAGCGGCAGGCCTGACCCAGAGACATCTGCAGGCCAGACTAGGCGCAAGCGAAAGGATGCAGATCTCTGCTTCCACGCCACCCTTCACGTCCGGGCCAAGCTGGGGGTTACATGGCCGTAGCGTGGGCTGACGAATAAGGGTCTATGCCAGTCTTGGTCATGCCTGGGAAGAGGATGTAGGCGACAGGGGGCTGCAGGGTGGAGGCAGACCAGGCAGTACAGTTACAGGGCACCACATAGCCCGGGTTGGTGGGGGACGGGTGCGTGTGCGTGTGCTGGCTGGGGCAGCTGAGACTGCCGAAGGCGCCGTTCTGATAGCCCAGGGTGGACGCGTAGGGCAGCGCGCTGGTGGCCAACGTGTGGGGCACTTCACCCATCTTCTGGATGGCACTGGAGCTAAATTGCGCAGGGTCCAGCAGGGAGTAAGGCGCCGAGGCCGGCGGCAAGAAGGCCCGGGCTTTCTCGGGCGCGCTCAGAAGGCCGTCGGAAGCCCCCACGGGCAGGCCGGCTGCCTTGAGCGGGTCCGTGTCGCCCAGGTAGGGCAAGGGGAAGACATACCTGTCTTTCTTGAGTAGGTTCTTGGGCTTGCGCCTTGGCCGGTACTTGTAGTCGGGGTGCTCCTTCATGTGCTGGGCGCGCAGCCGTTTGGCTTCGTCGATGTAAGGCCGCTTCTCTGCCTCGGACAGGAGCTTCCATTCGGCGCCTAGGCGTTTGCTGATCTCCGAGTTGTGCATCTTGGGGTTTTCCTGGGCCATCTTGCGCCGCTGGCCCCGGGACCAAACCATGAAGGCATTCATGGGCCGCTTGATGTGGTCTGAAGGTTTGGACATGGTCCCGGCAAGGCGGGCGGGGGCGGGGAATGCAGGGGCTCTGCGGGCGAGCCTGGGCGCGGTTGGCCGTCTGTCTTTCTGTCCGTCCCGAGCTCGGGACTCTGAACTCCCCTCTTCTCGGAGCCGCGGAAGGGGAGTCAGAGAGAAGAGCTGACCCTGCAAAGTTTTCAACTGATCATGCCAGTCCCAGCACCCAGGCAGCCCCCAAGGGGCCGAAGGGTAGGAAGGGCAGCGGGGATGCGAGGGCGTTCGGCCTGGAGTCTGTAGGCACCAGAGATTGGGGCCCAAGTACCAGAGTCTTGGGATTAAGTGGCTAGGTAATTTTCTGGCGAGGGCAGGAGGCTCCTCCTTCTCTCCCTCTTCACCTTCGCCTTCTCTCCTTTCCGTCTTTCCCCTGGCTTCTCTGGCCGTGGCTTCCCCCCTCCCGTGGCTTTCCGGGCGCTGCTTTGCCACGCACTGCACCTGGCTGAGAATGCGGGGAGGCTGGTGAACTGCAGCCAAAAGCGGCGAAGTTCAAAGGCGAGGTGGGCCGGGACCGCACGCACTCTGACATAAGCGCGGGGCGGCGACTCCCCAACCTGGGCGCCAATCAGCAGCAGGGAAGGCGGGGGGGGGGGGGCGCACCTGCCAACTCGCAAGTAATGGAAACCAGAGCATCCCTGATGGGGGCGGGGAGAGGTATGAGGGACATAGAGACCGCCACGGAACAGAGGCTAGCTCTGGACTGGGGACTGGGGCTTTACATTGTCCCTGGCAAAAATTAAAACTCTTCGTGCCCCCTGTTTTCATCCCCAGTTGTTCAGAAGAGAACTGGAGCTTCTAATACAAAGATCCAGGGACCTGTCAGCAAAGGCAGCAAGCCCAGAGCTCACGTAGATAAATAGGACAACCTCGCCACCAAATGAGAAGACAGTAACCCCCCAACCCCCGCGCCCGCAACACACACTTGTCAAAAACCGTTGGGAGAGAAAAAGAACATATCAAACTCAAGGCAAAAAGCAAAACAAACTTTTTCGCGCCAGACCCTCCGCGGTGCCTTAGCATCGTTCTTTCCGTTCGGCTTTTGGGGCCTCCTCCACCGGTGCCCCAGGAGGCTCCCACGGAGCAGTTCTGAGCCCCTGGGGATCACAGCAAAGCTCTCTGAGTCGTAATCCGGATGCTTCGTGCTGGAGTTGCAGAGTCCTGCGTTGGCGAACCTCTAACACCATGACTCTTAACGTTGGGGGCCCTTAACACGAGGACTCTTCACTTTAGGGGCTAAGTGTGGTAGGCAGGATCCATTCTGATTCTTTTTTATTTTTGTCGTTATTTGGTGATTTAAAACTCCCAGTTTTCCTCAACCGTCCAAACTGGAAAGGCAGCGGGCAGACGGGCCATGGGACCTTCCTGGTGCCCCTTTGGCGTCTGCAGCCTGGAGCCTCAGGCTGTATCCTTTCAACTAGGGTTGATTTTTTTCCCAGGGTGCCTTTTCCCACCCAGCGAGGATGGGGGCTCGTTTCTTGAGTCTGATGAGCTTTCTTCGGGTAAAGAGGACGAAATAACCCGCCGAGCCAACCTGCGAGCCTGTTTCCTTTGAATAATTGCCTGGCCGATGTGAAATGCCCTTGGGGAAAATATTTATTAAATGGAAACTATTGTCCCGGGTCCTGAAGGACCTGAGTGTGTTCCAGGCTTATTGGCTTTTGCACCGGCCTCTCCCGGGAGGAGGACAGGCCAGAAATGCGCACAACGCAGTCGGCTATCAGGAGCTGCGAGTGGGGGAGGAGGAAGAAAGGGGGAGGCTTTTTTTTTTCTTTTAATAATTGTAGTGTGTTGTGTTTGAAGGGGAGAACCTACTTCCGCTTCCTATGATTGCAAAGGCTAGGGGGATTTCTCAGCTTCAGTGCTTTTCTTCACAGGGAGTAACAGTTGGGCGTTATTCCCATTTTACAGATTAGGGATAATCACACGGGAAAACTGACCTTGGTCTGGATTCCCTTAGACTCGGCTGGAGCCCCTGCTTCTCGGAGTGAACTCCCACGTCCAGCCACGAGGGCCATCTTTCAATTGTAAAGAAGATGCACAGCCTTTGCCTTCTTCGTAGCTGTGGCCTCACCTCCGGAGTCTCTGCCCTTTCACCTCCAGCTTCTCTTCACTCTGCCTTTCCTCTCCTTTCCCCTTCCTCCGGGGCCTTCTCAGTACAAACACACACACACACAACCGCCCCAGAATGTCTGGAAGCAGAAGTACTTTTTGGCTCACTTCAAAGTGTTGAAGTCAACTCCTGTTTAGTTCCGACCTGCTCCTCTCAGGACTCGTCAGGGGTCGGAGAGCCACCGATTCTGATTCTGCTGGGGGATAGATAGCAGCTGCTCTGCGAAGAGGTGAGAAAACTAACCAGGTTTGCAGAGCGGGGATTCTCCAGCCGCACCTAGAGGTTTAGGTTAATGCAATACAGTGTCTTGGAAATTGCTCAGCGAGGGATCCGACCCAGCTTTTCAGGCCCTTCTTCCGTTCTCAGCTGGCTACTGCGCCAATCTATCTCCTTGCCCTGGAGCGCTTTGAGACTGGAGAGTGCCCTCTTTCGATTCTTCTCAGTTCTTCTTCCTCCTCTTGTATGTTGATGGTTCTCTTCTCCAGTCCTCTCAAGTCCAGCCCTAAATTGGAACCCAAGAGCTATCCACAATTCAAGAGCTATCCAGCACCAGAAGAGAACTTAACACTGGTGCAGGCTGGAGGAGGACTAGGTTTACTCAAGGCCCCTTACCTGGAAGGACAGGAGTTCCGGTGATTTTCAGACCCACCCCCCAACACACACACACACACACACACACACACACACACACACACACACACACACTGCTGCGCTGCGCTGTCCCTCCAAACCGTGCCCCCTCCCCAGGAAGCCTAGACCTCATTCCCAGGGCTCCTCTCAGAGTCCCCACCCCCCTGGTGGGGGTGCAGAACCAGCAGTTTGGATCACAACTAGACAGGCATTAGGCAAGAGATAACCTAAACGTGCCTTCTGCTTTCCTCAAGCCTGAAATTCCAGCCCCAAGTTGTCACTCTAGTATCCAGAGCTAGAGGTCTCCCCGCCCCCCCCCTCGTCCCCGCCGGCGCCGCGTCCCCCACCCCCACCCCACCACCCCAGTCCCGCGCCCTCCCCATGTGTGTGGCATTGCATGTTTGCCTAGAAAATCCATGCTCACTCTCGGTTTGGGCCTTTTTATTCTACTCCATTCCTCAAGGACTTGGCACACTATCCTTAGCCTGACTGAAACCCCTGAGCCTGAGATTCAGGGCCTAGTGGATACTCTGGTCTAAGTGAGTGAAGAGGGCTCTGGAGTCAGGAGCCTTTAGCTTACTCTCTGCCACTAGCAGACTCCAGCACTCTCTCTGGCTTCCGTTGCCCTAAGGCAGAGCTTTAGACCAACTCCTTTGCACACCCTAGCAATCTGGCCTCGAGGCTGTCGCCTTCAGAGGGCCTTCTTTCCCAGCCTGGGCTAGGATTCCTGTGTTCTGTCACACACAGACTTCCCTGCCAAGCATTCTTCCCTAGGCTCTTCTGGATCCTTGTGATGCCAGGTCCTTTGCAGGGCAGTGGCTGTATTCTTGTCATCAGGTTCTCAATGCACCGGGATCTCAGAGTTCAGAGGTTTGAGAAAGTTTCCTTCTGCCCAAGGCTGAGAAAACTTTCCCAATGGGACATTTTCCACCTTGTAGTGGTCGACACAAAACATCGAAGTCAGCCTGGTAGTAGGGCCTCTGGCTTCCCGGCCTGTGCCCCGGGGCCTGTGCCCCGCCGGTCTGTGCCCCGCGGCCTGTGCCCAGCGGCCTGTGCCCACCAGTGTGTCCTCAGTTCTCTACTTTGCTCACCTGCCTCGGCTTATGGAACTGAGAACCAACTGCTGAGGGAAAAGAGGAAGGAGACAAACCACTTCTTGGGAAATGTGGTATTGAAGAAGAGCAGAGCTGGTTTGAAATTCACCGCTGGATGGTGTTAGAAGAAGCCAGTCGGAAAACCTTGCCTCCCCAGAGAAGGGAGATCTCTGCAGCTTCTCTGCCTTTTAAGGTCAAGGGTCAAAATGTGTGAGTTTTCATAAATGTAGAGGCAAACAGGTATTTAGCAACAAAAACATTGGAGATGATAAATTGATCACTGGAAATGATGAACTTCTGCCAAATCCTAAGTTTTAATTTGTCTTATCAAAATAAAATACTTGGCACCCTTTCCTTCATGCCCCACTTTCTCTATTTTTAAAATTCAGAGTCCTTAGAAGGATCCAGTGTTCTAGTTTTATTTCCCACGACTAGGGTCTTCTCATCAGAACTCAGTCCAGTTAATCCAATATCTTGAAGTTTTATAAAATTCCATGTTTTCAGCACCAAGATGACACTGGGGACGTAGTTTAGAAACAAACAGACTGGGGACACAAGCTTCCAAGACAGACAACCAGGAGTGCCTGCAACTCAATCTATTTGCCATCCCGGTTGAGTAACTGGGCTGAGCTTAAGGGTTTATCTTAACACCAGAGCATGCTCAGTGTCCCCAGTCACTTTTCTGTTGCTGGATAAGATGCCCAAAGCTAAAAGGGAGGGAATGAGGAGAAAGGAGAGAGAGAGAGAGAGAGAATGGAAATGGGGCAAAGCTATAAACTCTCAAAGCCCCCACCCCCACCCCCGTGAGTGCTTCATCCAGGCAAGCACGCGGCTCCTAAAGGTTCTACAACCCCCCTCCAACAGTTCCACTACTGGGTAACAAGTGCTCCAACACCAGAGCTAATGGAGACATGGAAACATTTCTTATTAAACCACCATACCCAGTAAGGGGACTTTTTGATGCTTCCTAATGTCTGAGTAGTTCAACCTGAGTCCATGTATAAACAGAAATTATATGACTCACTGACTGGGTGAAACTTTAATAATGTTTGTGCAGCATCTATACACATCTCTCAGAAAACAGAAGGGTAAGAGCAGGAGAAGAGGTATTAACTCGTATTTATTTTTCATTCAAGGAGCATTTGTTTGAGCATCCCTATATGCCAGGCATTATCCTAGGCTTCAGCAGTGAATAAGACCTACAAGGGTCCTTTTCCCATGGCGATCACTGCAGCCTGACAGAGAGCAGTCAGCAAGCCAGAGCCTGGCCCCTGAAGGTGATTCCTGGCTCCACAGCCAAGTTGTGCATCATCTCACCTGTAACCTATCCATGTGGCTTCATGGCTTTTCAATGCAGATACCCTGGGTTATTATCAGAGCTAAATGGCTTTCTATCTAAGAAGCCCTTTGAACAATGTTGGGCTTGTAGAAGCTGCTCAATAAAAATGTCATTCACATGAGGGGTTAACTTTTTTCAGCCCCCCAGGACTGGATAGAACCCAGGTCCTTTGCTACAAGGCAGACACTCTACCAATGAGCTATACCCCTGCCCTTGGAATTAATGTCTGATAGTGCTAAGTGCTAAGAAATTAATAGATGATGAGAAGGTGTGTAGGAGGAGGATGGGGGAAGTTCACACTGAGTTGTCAGCATCCTGAAAACAAGGAAG